AGTTCTGCTTGGCCTGAACCCAGAGTCTCCTTTAGACTCTGCTGCCCCCATAGGCTGCTCTCTACCAACTGGGCCAGGACAGCGGAGACTTTCAGTTCTCCTTGCTTTGGGGGTTAATGGGATTTCCTGTAGTGTCTGTGTATACGTTAAGTCCTTTTTCATTTGTTTGAATTGTATTTTAGCAGGACAGGTTGTTGTTTTATTTTAATTCATTAATCAGCTAATTTGCATGATGTGCGGATGAGTGTGGCAAGTGCCATTGTGCTCAGGGGACTTGGGGAGGGGGGTCTAGGGATGGAACTCAGGCTTGAGCAGCAAGGGCTTGAACTGCTGAGCAATCTCCCCACATCCACCCCCTCCCTTCTAAAAATTGTTTAAATTTTTTTTATTTATTTATGTTTCATGTGTTTTGCCTGCCTGTATGTACCGCCATATGCATGCTAGGTGCCCCTAGATAGAAGTCACAAAAGGGCATTGCGTCTCCTGGAACTGGAGTTACAGGTTGTAATCAGCCACGTGTGAGCCAAGACTTGAACCCAGTCCTCTGAAAAGCAGCAAGTGCTCTATATGGCCGAGCTGTCTTCCCATTCCCATCCCCTCCTTTTTTATTTTTCAGAGTCAGGGTCTTACAATGGAGGTCTGGCTGTTAGCTGGATATTTGTTATGTAGTCAGTCCCCTTGGTCTTGAACTCTTGGAAATCCCCCTGCCTTCGCCTCCCAAGTGCTGGGATTGCAAGTGTGGCCATCATGCCCCGATGGTAGAATTCCTAATAGTTTAGAACTGCCTGTGGTAAGCCAAGTAATGCCTGCCCTCAAAGGCGCTTCATAATCTTGGGTTCTGAGGTTTGCAATATGCTTTCCAGTCTGTTTCCATTGTTCAGACCGAGGTTTCCTGTTGTTAAAAAGTTACTGCAAGTGTAGTGGCCGAAAGCAATGGGGTGTAGTCTCCACACCCGACAGCAGGAGCCACTGCAGATCTCAGACCCCGTCTCCTAGAGTCCGATCCTCGCATTCCTTGGCATAGAGCTCTTCCTCTGCCTTCAACACCCACAACATGCCACCCCAAATCTCTCAGACTCCATCCTGCTTCCCACAGCAAAGTCCTTCTCTGACTCGCACCCTCCTTCTGCCTCATGCAAGGACTCTGGAACTGTTGAAGTCTTATTCAGATAATCCAGAGTAGCCATATCTTGAGATTATCAATTGCACACCTTCAAAGTCCTCTTGGCCAGTCTTTAGTATCACCCTGTGGACATTGACCTTTGGAGCTGGCCGTCATGGTGTACTCCTGTGGTCACAGAGGATTGCTTGAGTCTGGGAAGAATGTGGGAGCTATCTGGGGCATCAGGGGGACACACTTGTCTCATAAAGGGGAGTGTACTTTAATGTACTTTCTTCTCTTTGCATTCTTTGGCTTATAAATGGCTACCCTAATGCAGATACATGGTGTTTTTATTTGTGAGTTCATTATAAGATGGTATTTATTTGATTTAATGGCTTATTTCTGGAGAAAGAGAGAGAGAGAGAGAGAGAGAGAGAGAGAGAGAGAGAGAGAGAGTACACCCAAACAAGTGTACAGTTCAGAGGACAGTTTCCAGGACTGTAGGAATTCTCTGTTTCCACTGTGTGAGTCCTGGCGATTGAGCTCTGGTTGTCCTGCTTGGCAGCAGTCACCCTTGCTTGCAGAGGCATCATCTTGTTGACCGGGATTCATATTTTTAAATAGTCTGAAAAGAATCTAAGAAGAAAACCACTTCATGATACATGAAAATTGATGACTCCACAGTCTGAAATGAAAGTGTCGGTGGTCATGGTGGCACATGCATGTCATCTCAGTACTTGGGAAGCCAAGGCAAGACAATCCTGATTTGGAGGCTAGCCTGAGCTACCTGACCATCCTAAAATTGTCCTAACAAAAATGAAGCAAAACCTTAACCAGCAACAGCAAAACTCCCAAACAAAACAAAAAATCAAAACTTCATCCAAATAAAACTAAAAGATGGGGGTGGTGTCAGCAAAGCCCGGGCATCCCATTTGTACTGTGTGTCTCCACACTGTACAGTATCAGAACTGAGTGATCCCAGCAGGACTGACAATCTGCACAACCAGGTTAAGTAACAGAAAAAGTTCCCAACTTCTGTTTCATCATATGCTCCATCGTTAAGTCTTTCACTGACTTTTTAGTTTAGTGGTTAAGAATATTTAACTTTTAACATTCTCAATTTTTAAAAATTCCATTAATATAATAAGCATTTGGCATGATTTTGGAAGGATTCTTTAAAGCTGAGTTTGTATACATGTATACCACCCAGTGTGCCCATGGGAGCAGAGGAGAGCTTTTGAGGATTGCTTCTAGCCTTCCACCTTGCTGAGGGTGTGTCTCCTGTTTCTGTTGCTGTGCTGTGTATTCCACACCACGTGACCTGAGCACTTCCAGCTGGTTCTCCTGTCTCCTGCCTGAGGGGTGTTGAGAGAACAGCCGATGCCACTGCATTTGGCATTTTAGTAGGTTCTGAGAGCAGACTTGAGTGTTAGGCTTAGGTGGCAAGTGCTTCTCCCTGCTGAACCTTGCCCAGAAGGGTTTTTTATGTTGAATGAAATGCAGGTTGGTGGTCTTGTCCCATGAGTTCACCTGAATTAGTGAGCGAGCCTCCCACCCAGAGCTTGGTGTTAGCAGAGGGGGTGAGGAATCTGTGACACCATGGACACAGGCTGTGGTGTCCTGCTGTTGGTCAAACACTAGTCTAGATACTGCTGTAAGGGTATTGTAACTATGACCACCACTTACCATCAGTTGATTAAGTGAACCAGACTACCCTCCACAGTGTGGGTGGGAAGACTTCACAACCTCTGAAGTTTCCCAAGGAAAAGGGCGTTCTGCTCAGTTTCCAGCGTGCTGGGCCCTACGCATTTCTGCCCGGTCAGTCACAGTTGTGTGGGCCAGATCTTTAAAACCTCTATTGTCCAAGAGCCTCGTTTTCTTTTGATAAGTAGATACAGATGCACACATTTTCTGTTGCGTCCATTTCTGGAGACCCCTAGCTACTCTGTGTGTGTGTGTGTGGACTGCAGTCTGTGCCCCATACCAAGTGATGCTGCTAAGCCAGGAAGAGGTGGGGGCCTTCCTCACACCCACCTCAGGCTTCTGCTTTTACCGACTGTGAAAGGAAATGGACCACGTTTGGATGTTACAAAGTCAGAAATAAGGTCACTTGTGAAGGGGCAGAGGACTTTTTCTCAGTTCACCATTGTTTGAAATTGTGAGGAGACTGAGGGAGCGATAGCACAGAAGTGACAGGGAGCAGCTGAGGAAGGGAAATGGAACTCAGGGAATATTTTCGTTGTTCTCTGTGTGCTAGTCACAGTGGTAGAGGCCACCAGGTCCCTGTCACCAGAAACTGGTTCTGTGGTCCTACAGATGATTTTTTTTTGTTCTTAAGTTTTGGCTCTTTGACCAGGATTCCAAAGAGGAAATGTTTTGAATAAAAACACAAATAGAATATCTAAACACACTACTTAGCAGTTTTGTTTGTATCTCTACATACCTTAAATATCTTTTTTTTAAACTAGTGCAATTAAAACATGTTTAGTATTGTTTAACACAAACTGATACATATTAGCAGAAAAAAATCAAGTGGTAATTTATATATTTCTAAACAGATTTTCCCATGCCTTCCAGTAATGATACTAGAAAAATCTAGTTTTGAATTTTGAGTTTTCCAAACTGAGCATTGCACTCCCACATTACTCCAGGAGATGATTGACCACACGTGTGCTGAAGGTGCTCTACCCTGCTCTGCAGACCCCTCCTCCCTTTCTCTGAAACCTGACTAAGCTAGATATGCTTCTGTGGGTTAGTTATGAGCCCTTTGTGGTTTACTATTTATTTGTTTTTCTTATTTTAAAGTAATTGTGGCTTGAGTTTTATAATTCCTAAGATGTGCTAGTTCTTCTGATAGTGCTTGACAAACCTATAAATAAAATGACTGAGACATGACATGACTTCTTCTTGCTCAAATGCCATTTCATTTTAAATAGCTAAGCTCTCCTACTCTGTTTTCATCTGCATGGCTTTCATGGTCTCTTGTCCCTCTATATTTGAACATACTTGATGTTGATACAATGAACATCAACAGTATTTCTGAAAACAATTTTCGAGTGTTCTCCAGAGCTCAGGCCTGTAAGTTCTAGGGGTACCTGGAGGTAAGAACATAGGGGTACTACTTGCGAATTGCTTCTTGTTCCTGGAGAGACACATGGGGGAAGAGATTGTAGTGCAAGAACAGAAACAATAGCTTCATATTTGAGGAACACAGGGTAACAGGGGAGGTTGGATTGGTTGAGCCTTTTGGGGAGTGGGAAGACAAAGGGGGGTGCGAGCCAACTGGGTTGTGAAGGAAGAGATAAATAATTTTCATGTGAACAGAGCAGAATTGTGGACTGAGGTGCATTGCTGCCTGGTTTTCCATGTGCTGGTCCTGCGCTAGTTTACACTTGCTGGAGTGTAAACCTTATAATCCAGATGACCTCCGAGATTCTGTGGTTGCTTTCTGGATTATTGTTAGTCTTTTTTTAAAAGGCATAATCCAGGGTTACATTAAATTAGTGAAAACAATAATATCCACGGAAGTTTGTGAGATTCAGTCTGCTTTATGTATCTGTGGGTTCAACCACCTGGATCAAAAATTGCTTCATGAGCACAGATTCTTTTCTTGTCACGAATCCCCTGAGAATATGGGTAAGTAATGTTTCGTAGCCTTGACACTGCATTAGTTAGTCTGAGTCATCCAGAGGTGGTTTGATGCTTAAAGGAGGATGTTAGAAATTATACAAATATGACAACTTTTTATATGCAACTTGAATTTGGTGTATGTGGCAGGTTATGGAACCAACACCCTGGAGATCCTGAGGGACTCCTGCCATCGTATGAACATTGCTACGAAGTAAACACCTGGACAGTTCTGGTACTGTATAATTGAACCTCTCCTGTCTCTCCACAGCTGGTCAGTCTGCTGCTCATTGGGATTGCTGCTTGGGGCATCGGCTTTGGACTGATCTCCAGTCTCCGGGTGGTGGGTGTGGTCATTGCTGTGGGCATCTTCCTGTTCCTGATTGCATTGGTGGGACTGATTGGCGCTGTAAAACATCATCAGGTGTTGCTGTTTTTTGTATCCTTTTTAAAAAATCAGGATTGTTATCTCAATCAGGCGAAGTTCTCACTCATTATCAATTATGTTCCAATGGTTGCTGCTAACTTAATATTCTCATTACGGATTTCATTGCCAGGAAGCAACTCTTAGAAAGACACTGTCGGGATAACTGCAAGGAAAAAGCCTTAAGTTTAGTTGTCCCCAACCCTTCCACATCACATCATAGTGTTGTATGCGTTGGGCACACTTCTGATTTTCCTTTGCAAACTCAGAGTTAAAATGAACTCATTTCGTTACTTCTAGCACACTACTGGAAGCTCGTTACTTCCTAGCACATTGATCTTCCATTGAGAATTTTGTTTTGTTTTGTTTTGTTTTGTTTTTTCGAGACAGAGTTTCCCTGTGACTTTGGAGACTGTCTTGGAACTAGCTCTTGTAGACCAGGCTGGTCTCGAACTCACAGAGATCCTCCTGCCTCTGCCTCCCAAGTGCTGGGATTAAAGGCGTGCACCACCATTTAACAGTGTATTCTTTAGGTTTAGTTTTGAGACAGCTTATACATTTGTCTAGATCTGTTTTTTATTTTACAGGTTTCAGAATTTGTATTTCATTTTGGATGTGAGTTTTTCAAAATCTAATTCTCTATCTCTCTTTCTTTTTGAGACAGGGTCTCTGTAGACCAGGCTGACCTCAAGCTTGGGCAGTCCTGTCTCTGCTCCTTAGGCCACCTGTGCTTGCTGTATAGAATTATTTATGTTTTTCTAAATGAATTTAAAATTGTAGTGTATTTGCAAAATAATACAGTGTATCACTTTGAAGTTAGGTAACATTGTTCTAGTTTCTAGGTGAATTGCTTAGAGTGTACTGTCAACACTCCTGCTTTATGCTCTTTCAGAACCATTTGCAGTGTTTCTAGCAGCAGGTAAAGGCACTTGCTGCCAAATCTAAGGACCAGGGTTCAATCCCCAGTACCCACATGGTGGTAGGACAACTGACTCCTGCAAGTCGTCCTCTTCATGAACAGCATGGCGCATGCAGATAGACTCATGCGTGTATAGTCCCGCCCTGGCCACACTCATACTTACAGTGAACAAATAGGTGTGATGATAAAAGGCAAATAAAACAGTCCTTAACCTGTAAACTCTCAGTATATGATTATTCTCCTCCTCGTGTTTATTGTTCAGTTTTCGGTGTCTTGTGCTTGTTTAGCTCTGAATCAGGACCAACAGGTAAGCAAGGATATATATAGGATATATATATTTTTTTTTCTTTTTGTTTTGAGACAGAGTCTTACTGTGTAACTCCGGCTGTCCTACAACTGTGTAGACCAGGTTGGCCTCAAACTCACAGAGATTGCCTTTGTCTCCTGAGTGCTTGTATCAAAGGCATGCATCATCGCACCCAGCTGAGTGAAGTTTTTTTATATTATTTTACTTTATTATACAACATAACTATGAAAATGATGGGAGGAAGTGACTGGAGAATAAGTATTTCTTCTTGCCAAGAATGCCATTTTAACCGGATACCTAAATTCTCCCTCCTGAGGGGTTCGTGGGAACAGCTGCAGGGGAAGTGCCTCAGGTCTTGGTCATCTGTATCCTTAAGTAAGACTTACGGTACGGCACTGGGTGAAAACCGCTGCTGCTAAAAGATGTCTCTTCTTTCCCCACTGCCATGCAGCTCCAAAGTGTCTGTGGCTTCCTTGTAGCAGTTACTCTTTTTTTTTTTTTTTGGTTTTTCGAGACAGGGTTTCTCTGTGGCTTTGGAGGCTGTCCTGGAACTAGCTCTTGTAGACCAGGCTGGTCTCGAACTCACAGAGATCCGCCTGCCTCTGCCTCTCGAGTGCTGGGATTAAAGGCGTGCACCATTTGTAGACAAAAAATGGGTTTCTTGGAGCAACTGAAACTTTGTATTATTGCACTTAGAAAATTATGCCTTTGAAGCAAGTACTGTTTTTAAATTGCTTGTAAAAATCCAGGACTTTTTCTTTTGTAGCATAGAAATACTAACCCCCCCTTTTTTTTTTGGCAGAACAAGGTATATGCTTTAGAAAAGTTGTAATAATTTTATAGAGACTATTTCATGTACATTCTACTGCTAACTATAGAAAAATACGTTTCTTTCTTTCCTCCTTTTTTTTTTTTTTTTCAAGACAGGATTTCTCTGTGTAACTGTCCTGGAACTCAATTTGTAGAACAGGCTGGCCTTGAACTCACTGAGATCTGCCTGCTTCCCTCCCCAGCACTGGGATTAAAGGTGCGCCTCACCAACGCCCGGCTGGGATGATATGTTTTAATGTATCTATGAACTGCGTTTCCTAGGGTCAGCTGCTGGAGGTTGGTTGGAACAATACAGCAAGTGCCCGAAATGACCTCCAGAGGAACTTGAACTGCTGTGGCTTCCGAAGTTATAACCCAAATGACACCTGTCTGGCTGTAAGTCCAAACTATAAAAGCTTTTTTTTTTTTTTTTCCTTGAATGTGTTACATACAGTTCAGTAATGATTAGCAAAGAAGTGGCCTTTCTGATACTGAATTATATTTCAAGATTGTTTGACATATGCTCCTGTTATATTTTGTATGTGAACCGCTGTCACAGTTACCCATTCCATGTCCAGTGAGACACACTGCGTTTATTTTCCTTCCTGTAATTCTTTCTTATTCAGCTCTTTCCTGGAACAAGTTGAGAGGAGAAATGATCAGTCTGGGAGATTTCTGTCTATGCAGTTTTTTAGGGAGGTAGCTAAAGAAGGGTCTATTTTAAATTGGCTCTCTTAACTAGTCCAATACCTCCAAGGTAGAAGACACATAAAACTACCCTCCTCTCTTTGCCTTCTGCATCACTCTAGGCTTGGTGTCCTCCCTGTTGCTCAAAGGTTGTTTGTAGACTCATTCTTGTAGCATTGTCCTGTTTGCCGGTGTCTATTGCTGTGAAGGGACACCATGACTAAGACCACTCTTATTAGAGAAAGCACTTAGTTGGAGGCTTGCTTACACTTTCAGAGGTTTATTCCATTGTCATCATGGAGGGGAACAATGTGCCCTACAGGCATGGTGCTGGGAAAGTAGTTTTGTGTTACATTCTGAGCTACAGGCAGGTGTGTGCATCCATATATAGCGAGATAACTGGGTTTAGCACGGTCTTCTGAAACCTCAAAATCCACTCGCAGTGACACACTTTTTCCAACAAAGGCCACACTTCCTAATCTGTGTAATCCATAACCCTTTCAAACAGTTCCGTTCCCTGGTGACTAAGCATTCAAATACATGAGCCTCTGGGGGACATCCTTAAGCAGACCACCACAGCTGGGTTGTCTTACAGTGCATTTGTATCAGCACGAGAATCTCTGTTCTGGCAGGATGGAGTCTTACACAGTGTAGTCTGGACACCTGCCCATCATCTTGATAGTTCCCAGATGGGGATGGATACTACAGAGCATGCGCAGGAAATGGCCATCTTGGAAATTTACACACAGTTTAAAATTTATACTTAAATTAAATGTAGCACCCTAGACCTGAATTTGGTTTGTGTGTGTGTAATTTTAGTTTTGAATGTGATTATCTTTTTGTGAATGTACTCTGAAGCAACTAATGGGCCTTTTCTTTTATTGATGCAGAGCTGTAATAAAATGGCACACAAATGCTTGCCATGTGCCCCCATAATCGAAGCGTATGCTGGAGAGGTTTTGAGATTCGTTGGTGGCATTGGCCTTTTCTTCAGTTTTACAGAGGTTTGTCCTTCCCCTTTGTCATAGAGAGTTCTGTTTTGTATGTCAAGAAAACACAGCATTGCACTTCAGCATAACAGCTAATATTCAAAAGCTCCTTTCCTCCTTAGGTCACTCAGTGTTATGGGAACAGCCTAACTTGGAATAGGAAAATCTGACAGATCTAGCATGAACTTTATGATAGGGTGCCATTCTTGATCTGTTTTCCCTGAGTAAATTGTAATAAATGAAGAGATTAGGCTGGATTAGCTCTGGGCTTTCTTCATCTTTCTAGACTTATATGATAAATTATAGTTTAATTTTGTCATAAGTAGAACATTACTTAGTATATGTTATACTTGGTATGTGTTAATACTATAACACACATATGCATATATCCAGACAAAGATTTGTTTGTAAAAATTGCCCCTGTTGCTGGGCAGTGGTGGTGCACGCCTTTATCCCAGCACTCAGGAGGCAGAGGCAGGCGGATCTTTGAGTTCAAGGTCAGCCTGGTCTACAGAGTGAGTACTGGGACAGCCAAGGTACAGAGAAACCCTGTCTCTGAAAAAAAAAAATGCCCCTGTAACTGAAGAAAGCTGGGAGTGGGAGAAGTGAGGTGATCTTTCTCAGAGAAGAACTCATTAATTTGTTATCTAATACCAAATAGTCAACCCTGAAACCATACATAGAATAGCATTATAAGGACCAGAAGATTTATTTAGGAATATACATAAATATTTATGTTTGCAATAATAATCAATGCAAGAAGAGGCCATTAATTTGAAGGAGAGTGGCAAGGGATATATGGGAGGGTTTGGAGAGAAGAAAGGAAGGAGAAATGTAATAATATTATAATCGTAAAAAATGAAATATAAAAATTGTGTTACTTTCGGGCTGGAGAGATAGCTCAGAGGTTAAGAGCACTGGCTGCTCTTCCAGAGGTCCTGAGTTCAATTCTCAGCAACCACAAGTTGACTCACAACCATCTGTAATGAGATCTGGTACCCTCTTCTGGCCTGGGCAGAACACTGTATACATAATAAAAATAAATAAATAAATAAATAAGTTAAAAAAATTGTGTTACTTTCAACTTAAAAAAATTTTCCTCTGAAACTGAAAGGATAAAATGGAGCAGAAAGGGTACCTTTGGTGGGCCCTGCCAAGGTGTGCCACAGAGAAATTCCAGATCAACAGATCTAATGCAAGAGATTTATTGGGCAAGGGAGAAGGGAGAGCAAAAAGAGTGAAAGGCCGTCTCAGAGTGGGGACATGAAAGAGGCAGGCGACAGACAGACAGACAGACAGACAGACAGACAGACAGAACAAGCTAGAGGGGAGCTAGAGAGGCACTGTGATGGACAAACCACTTGTAAGGAGTGCCTGTGTGGCCTAGCTCGCAGCGGAAGTGCGCTGCTCCTGGTGGTACCTTGCAGAAGGTGATGACGCAACTGCCACGGCCAAGGCAGAGGCAGGCTGCTGAGGATGACCAGAAACTTTCCTCTGCTATTACCTTTCTAAAGCCTGTAGGTAGCTACTGTCATTATTTGTATGTTTATATTATATTAATGTCTTTGCATGAATTAGTAAACTCTCATATACTAACTAGTAAGCAGAACTGGAATGCTAATTCTATATTCTGTATTAAATCCTCAATATCTGTGGACAGTTCTTGATGCTTCTGAGTTGATAATATGTATTGGGAAAAAAGTTGATTTTGAGGCAGGCTCTTATTATGTAGTCCCTGCTGGTCTTAAATTCCCCTTGTCTCAGCCTCCTGGACGCTGGTGTTATAGGTGTGAGCCACCGTGATGGCCTTAAAATTTCTTTTTTAACAAAGGAATTCCATGTGTGATACTTTGTTTCATGGAAACAATTATATAACAACATAAAATGAATACACAGGTTATTTATAAGCAATTTTTGAAGGTTTTTAAATTATGCGCACAAATGTGTATCTGTGTGTAGGTACATGCACATGGGTGTGGCGGCCAGAAGAGGTTGTCAGAATTCCTGGATGTGGAGGTGTTGTGGGAACCAAACTCCAGCAAGAGTAGCATGTAATCTCTTCACTGCTGAGCAGTTTCTCTGGCCCTCACCATATTTACTTCTGATCAATCTTTGGGCCCTTTTTGCTTCTTGGCAGTATGCTGGATCAGTTGAGACATATGTGTGTCACAGGACGGGGCTGGAAACGGAGTGCACCTACTTGCTCATTATGTGCCCTGGGGCAAGTTATTTAATCTTGCTGTGTGTCTCACCCTCCAAGGAGAATCACAACAGCAGAGAGCCAGTGATGGAAAACTGGGGTGCTGTGAGGAGTACTTGGTGCATGAGGGGTAGCTAGTGTTTTGTAGCCATTGGTAAAGTATTAGCATATGTCATATTATTCCCTATCAGAAAAAGATGGTACGCTGCTAAAACATGAGCTGTCCACATCACACATCTGTTTTAAACAGACAGCAGAATATGGATCAAATAATTCTTCTAACAGAGTTTGTATGTATAGCTACAGAAGCAGAGTAGGTTACTTAGAGGAGCAACATATGTCCTTACAAAACTGCAAAAAAAACTCTGCATTTTATATGGTTAGAATTTAGCCATGAATGGGATTGCTTAATCTGTTGATCCTTTAATTTTCTTTTTTAAAAATTGCATTTACTTATTGTGTGTGTGTATTGGGGATGGGGGGGCAACATGCTTGTGCCACAGTGGGTGTGTGAGGACCACAAGGACAGTCCTATGGAATCGGTTCCCTCCTTCACCATATAGTTTCTGAAGATTGAACTCAGGTCATCAGGCTTTGCAAAAAGTGCCTCTGCCTAAAGCCATCTCATCCCATCTTTTAGAAAAGTTTAATTATTTATTCATTCATTTATTGGGGACAGGGTTTCCTCTATGTAGTCCTGGCTGTCCTGGAACTTGCTCTATAGACCAGGCTGGCCTCTGCCTCCTGAGTGCTGGGATTAAAGTTGTGCCCCCACCACTGCCACCTGGCGTACATTTCTCTAGTTACCTGGGTGTGGGTGCACCCGTGCCGTGATGCATGTGTAGAGGTCAGAGGACAACTTTTGGGAGTCTGTTCTACCTTTTCTCTATGTGGGCCCTGGACATCAGAGTCCAGTGACTCAGGTCATGAGGCTCTGTAGCAAGTGCCTTTACCCACTGTTTTATCTTGTCAGTCCAACCACTTGGTTTCTTTTTAATAGGTAAATATTTACACAGTTGACTCCTGTGTGTGGAATGTCATTTTGCTTTCCCCTAGGCATACATTTCTAGGTATAAAATACAGCATAGTATGGGAATAGTCAAGAGATCTTGATAAGCAGGGCTTGGTGGCTCACACCTGTAATCATAGCACTTGAGAAGCAGAGGCAGGTGGATCTCTCTGAGTTCCAGGCTAGCCTGGTCTATCTATATAGTGAGAGCCTGTCAAAAAACAAAGCAAAACAAAAACCAAAACCAAAAACCAAACAAACAAAAAAACAAAACAAAAAAAGAATGAAATTCTGTATTGGTAAATTGTCTTCTGAGAAGAATCTACCACCAACTTTTGATTTAATAACTAACTTTAGATATTCTTATTATTAAAGATATTTGACAGGGCTTGAGAGGGGGCTCAGGGGTTAGTAATGCTTGCTGCTTAGGGCAGTTACCATTGGAGATGAAGATTTACAGAATTTGGTTCCCAGTACCCACATCAGATGGCTCATAGTCACTGTAACTCAAACTCCAGGGGGCTCCACGGCCTCTGGACTCTTGGGGGCACCCCTGCACATGTGCACATATAATTAAGAGCAATAAAAATAAATGTAAAAAACATCCAGAGTTCACACTTGGCTATTTATCAAAATGGAAAAGTCAAACTTGCTATTCCAGCTTCAAATGCAGCTGCCAGTGTGGAGCATGTTCTGCCTTCTTGCCTCGTCATCACACTTTATCTCTGTTCTCCCACTCTGGCCATCTCAGCTCCCCTCTTCTCAGGACCATGGTGTGTGCACCTCTGAGTCCACCTGGAAGATCTCTTCCTCACATAACCACACCTTTACCTCAGAGAGTAGCATTTGCAGGTCCCAGGCAGCATGCAGTCTACCACAGTGTTCATATCTCAGTGTTATTAGGGCCTGTCCTTTAATTTGCCCGAAGTCTCTCTTCCTTGAACAAAAAGTATGCAAAAGTAATTCAGAAGTTTCAGTTATTCTGTTGATTAACTAAATCTGCACAACACTTACTTTTTCTTCTTTTAATTCCAGATCCTGGGTGTTTGGCTGACCTACAGATACAGGAATCAGAAAGACCCTCGAGCCAACCCGAGTGCTTTCCTTTGAGGAGGAAACGAGGAAAGTTCTCCCGTATTTTCCCATCTTGCTCACTTTCTCTAATCTTAAGTTCTTAAGTTAAACTAATTTGTTCATCTGTCAGGCAACAGTATCTGACTATCAACAGTGGAACTAAATATTTTCACTCTAACATTTCTCTAAACCTTTTTTTGTTGACATTACTGAAAAGGCAATTGAAATCCATGGTGTTTGCTGACCCTCAGTGGTCCTTATAATCTACTGTTCTTGTCTGGCACTGTCCACTGTGGCCTTTCTTAGCCTTTTTATGTGCTGTAAAACTGTGTGTGGCATCCTGGGGAAATGAAATTGTGAGCCCCAATCTCCATCTCACCAGATAGTTGTACAGAGCACTGTGCTGTGCGGGCGGCTCCCCCAAAAGACACTTGAAGTTCACGAAGTGGAAAGAAGAGTCTGTGGTGTTCAGTCCTTAGGAGAAATCTGAGTTCCCTACACTTTATATCTTTTTAGGAAAGCTACATTGTAATGAAAAGTGTTAGCATATAAGTGATCATTTAGTTCTAGTAGTCTGCCATGATTACATCTGTGTATTCTAGAAGTAGCTGTGTCTTTAGGAAACGGAAGTTTAGTTTTTGAGTTTTATAGTTGAGGTAAAGGAGGTACCATTTGGGAAATGTTCTGGAGTGTGACAGTTATCTTCAGCTTTCAAAATGAGATGAGCTAGAAGATAGCTACATAATTGGACATTCTTTTTTTTTTTTAATAATTTGAAGTTCAAAACACTGTATTTGTAAGCAATGTGCAATCAATATGTTGGCCTGTGCAACAAAAAGATATTTGATTTTCTTAAAAAAAATAACTAAGTTATTGTGACAGTGAGTTGTCAAATCCAGACCTATTTAAATGCGCTACCTCCCATAAACTGAGAGAGAAATGGTGTTTGTGGCTCTGTATGTTACATTAAAAATTAAAAGCTGGAAACCTTTCTTTGTGTATGGGTGTTTGAATCAAAAGGAGGTACGGGGAGTGTTGATAAACTAAGGTAAGTAGGCATCTTTCCCTCTGCTCTTTGGCCTTCTGTTGGACACCAAAGTAGTGTTCAATCAGGCCTTGGAAATAAACTCCCAGCAATGATGTCTATTGGTAGTTATCTTCAAATCATTTCCTAGGTTAAAAAAACAAAACAAAACAAAACAAAACAAAAAAACATATGTATGTGTGCTTTTGTGTGTGTGTGTGTGTGGGTGTCAGAGGACAATTTGTAAGAATTGGTTCTCTCTTTTACCATATGGGCCCTAGGGATCAAATTTGGTCATCAGTCTGGGCGGCATTGTTACTACTGATCAACCTCCTGCTTCCTAAATGCTTTATTGAACTATTTCAGTGGTTCATATTATCTGCATGATGAGAAAGGTGTTTGTATGTATTTGGAGAAGTCATTGGTATTTATATGGGAAGAGTACACACATTATTTCTCATTGGTGACAGTTAATTTCCTGTCTTGGTGTGGAGTAGTGTGGGATACATCGTTGGTGATTGTTTTTGGAGGGGGTAAGTTTTAGATGATGACAGCTGGTAAAGCACTGATCCACAGATTAATGCATGTGGGCACACTTTGTTGTTCTGCCTCTTTTGTGACTGCTGCTGGCTAGTGTTGTACAGAAGCCAAGCCCTGCTATTTTGAAGGTGTCATGCTGAGACGGTGGCCACCTGGGCAGAACTTCGTATGCCATACGATGGGGATGTGACTCACGAAGGGAGTGTGTGGAAGGGATTCTGTTTTCCCTTTCAATCATCTTGTGTTTTTCTGTTTACTCAGCTGCAGTTCAGAGTATCTTACAAGATTCTGGAACTCTAGGGGCTCACCTTGGTGGAAATGACTGGAAAGGCTATTGCACAAAGAACATAAACTTGCCTGTGACTTGCTTTGTGCTCTCTCTTATTGCCATGGTTCTATTGCAGTCAGACAGTTAGAATCAGGGTCTGGGGGCTTGGAGAAATGGATCAGCTGTCTAGAAAGCACTCTGCTTTTGGGGAGGACCCGAGTTCTGTTCCCAGCACCCACACTGGTGGCTCACAGTGGTCTGTAACTCCAGTAGCTGCAGGGGGATCTGATGCCTCTGGGCTCCTCAAGTGCCTGCATACCCCAACACACACACACACACACACACACACACACACACATCCCTGCCCCCCCACACACACACACACACACACACACACACACACACACACACACACACACACACACGAAAAATAAATTTATTTTTGCTTTTGTTTTTTAAATCGGTCTGGCCCTGATGAGTATTTTTGTTAGTTATGGATTTGGTCTTTTGAGACAGGGTCTTGCTATATATCCTGGACTGCTTTTGAATTTTCTATGTAGCCCAGGCTGGTCTCAGACTTAAGGTGATTCTCCTAACTCATGTGCTACCACACACCAGGGTGAATCGTTAGGATTTTGAAATTGCCAGGTTATTTAAGCGAACAAATAATAAATGACTAGGCAGCTGGGATGCACACATTTAAGAGCTGGGGTATTCTCTTTCAAATGAATCTGACTTTTTCCTTTGTCTAGGATGTGAAGGTGGGGATTATTCACCCTCTTCTAGGATGCTCTCGTGATCCCTGTTTGTTTCTGGTTGAAGACATACATCTGCCAATTCATGGTGTCTCAGCATCTACTGGAAAGCCCTCTGAACAGGTCCATCCCATCCTCTTCCATGAAGGGCCCAGCTGTGAGCCTACAGAGCCCAGGCAAGGCTCCTCCTGATTGCAGGATGGGTGCTTCTCTGTGTATCTGCAGTCACAGAGCATGATGTCTGGAACAGAGGAGTGCAGATCTCAAGTTACACTGAAAGATGGTTCCCTTCCACCCAAACCTTTATCTCCTTGAAAAGGAACCCACTGCCTAAGCAGTTCTCTGAGTCCCTGTTTACACATCCCATTTAGAGGAATGTTCCTTAGAACATTTGCTCCGTCAGCCTCGGACTCAGGAAAATACAGCTAGTGTAATGGGAAAAGGTTTGGCTGTTACCGCTCACATCCGAGCTAATCATGGGGTGAAGTTCATCTCTGATACTGTGATCTGTGGACAGCATTGTGTTTACTCTGAAAACCAGTTCTGCATGCTCAACCTTGCAAATAACCACCGGGCAGGATGCTTCAGACAGGGAGAGGAAACCAGGCGATCAGTTCTTGGTTTCTTTGAGCCAAACCCTCCTTGGTGTTCTTAAATATTTGTTTAACCTTGCTTCAGTTTATTCATCACTTTATAAATACATTAAATATGTGAAACTATTTTACCTTTTAGCTGAGAGAATACTGAGACAGGAGCACATTTCCACCAAGTAGTTTATAGAAAAGCACACTGTGACTGTATAGACATGACTGCTTATGTAGGAGTGGTCTTATTGGAGAAGACATGAGCATTAAAGACCAAGTTTACCAGGCTCCTGGTTAGTGAGGGGGGTTGATGCAAACAGTAGTTGAGGGAAGGAGATGTGGAAAGGATGGGGCTAGTCCTATTTTCATTTTTCTTTTACTTTTTAAAATGAATTTTTAATTATGTGTCTATGTCTTTGAGTGTAGGTTGTGTGCATGTCAGAACAGCCCATGGAAGCCAGAAGAGGGTGCTGCAATGCCTGATCTGGAGTCACAGACAGTTCTGAGCTGCCTGATGTGGGTGCTGCGAACTGAACTTGAGTGCTCTTAACCATTGTGCCGTTTCTCCAGCCCTGTGTTGCAGTTTTCCTTGAGTGTCCTGTTATATCTGGGCACACCTGGAAAGAGGAAAGTCAGGCTCCCCTGCTATGAGTCCAGCCACTTGTCACTATGCTCCTTAGGAAAACTATCTTGGAAATTCATTGTCAAACAAGCTTTTGGGGGAGTTGCCAGAGCTAAAATATGTGTCAAAGAACGGGCTTTGCCATCTGTGGGGGGCGAAGCTGCTTTTGCTTACTTTGAGTATCTCATTCTTTTCCAAGAGGTGAGGTCATAACTTGGCAAGGGGCCTGAAGCTGATGTGATCACAGCTCCTTAAACTGAATGAAGAGCTCTGGTCTTACTTAGAACTTTTCCTGTCCTTCCTGCTCTGTCTCCCATTCTCAGTATTGATAAAGGAATGACCTCAGTAGCTTCATAAGATTACTGAATCCAAGGGGGAAACAAAAGAAAACAAATGCCAAACCCAAATCAGAACATATCAGATGATCACTTAAGAGAGACTGGTGCTGCAGCAGGTGGGAGTGGCTAACCCCAGTGTGTTGCCTTAAAGGGCGATACACCTTATCGACAATTTTTTATTTTTTTTTTGAAACTGGATCTTTCTAAGTAGCCCTGGCTACCCTGAAACTCACTGTGTAGACCAGGCTGGCCTTAAATTCACAGACATTTGCCTGCTTCTGCCTCCCATGTGCTGGATTAAAGATATGCCCCCAGTCAGTTAAAGCCAGTTTTCTTTCTGCCCATCTCAGCTATGGGGTCTAAGGTAGAAACTGGAGAAAATATTGTGGATATATATATATTATGTTAACCATGATAAACATAGAGGTCCATGGCATTAAGTGCATTTATATTTCACAGTTATGACCACCTGTTTTTGTTTCTTTATTATTGCTGTGAAATTATTGCTGTGAAGAGATGCTGTGACCGAGGTGACATACAAAGGAAAACATTTATTTGGGGCCTTGCTTCCAGCTTCAGAGGGTGACTGTGTGGCCATGATGGTGGAGAGCAAGGCCCCAGGTGGGCAGGAATGGTGCAGTAGCTCAGAATTCACATCCTATCCATAAGCCTGAGGCTGAGAGAGACTGGGCCTGACTCAGGCTTCTGAGATCTCAAAGCCCATCCCCAGTGACACATCTCCTCCTAGAAGGCTGCACCTCCTCACCCTCCCTGAACAGCTCCTTCAACTAGAGACTAAGCATCCCAACATGTTAGCCTATGGGGCCATTCTCATTTTTTCTTGTGAACTGGAATGCCACATCCATTAAACAGTTAAAAAAACAAAAAACAAGAGGGATGCCTAAGAGCCATTAGCAACTGAAGTGTTACCTCAGTTGCTGTCCACTGCTGTCAAATATGCTTCAGGAGACATTTAAAGAGAGCAAGCATTAACAATACCATTCCACCAATTAATGCATATGAGATCATCCCGGAGGGATCAAGTAGCCTTTTTATATTATGCCAAACTTTTCAATAAATAGAGTTAAAGGCTATAACCTCTGCCCTTGTCTGATTTAATTAAAATAAATCAATTTGTTTCTATGGGGGGGTGCAAGAAAAAGGAGTATATACATTACCCATCCTGGGTTATTGCCTCTTTGGTGGAAGCAGGCTGACCCATGTCTGGGTGCTCATCTCTTACCTGGGATCCATATTGAAAATGTGGCAGTCTGAGGCAAACCACAAGCATACCTTCACCCACCAATAAGCAGGGGTGGGGGGGGTAGTGTTGGCTGCCATTGGAGGCAGATAGGATCCTTCCAAAGGGGCAGGGGTGTGTTTCTTTGCAGTGATACTCCATACTTGTAGGCCTGGCTGAGCTCCTTGTCATCAAAACTGAGAAAGTTCATGTGGAAAAGGACCTCTGTTAAGGCCAGATGAGGATCTCTCTTAGCCTGTGAGATAGTCCTGGCCTATAGTTCCTTTAGAGCTCTGTTGGTCCTCTTCACAATGGCTTGTCCCAGCAGATTGCAGGGGATGCCAGTGGTATGGAAAATCTTCTATGACCTCAACGCTGAGAGGCATAGGCAGGGCCGGCCATACATGCAGATACATAGACACACATACACTTACAAATAATTAAAAACAAGATAAATATGTTAAAAATGTAATAAAATTCTACTGAAAATATGTCACATCTATCATCATCTAATGGGGGAAGTCCTTCTGTGTGTATGTTTGTCTCATTGGTTGATAAATGAAGCACTGTTGGCCAATAGGGAAGCAAGTTAGGCAGGACTAGGAGAGAAGG